TGATCTAAGTCGACGGGATACATCAAATTTGGCATCTTAACAAAGTGCTGTCTATTTTTCCATTGATTACCACTCTTCTCCTCGTACAACGACTCAAACTGCTCTATACAATCTTCCAAAGCCATTTCTTCCAATTTGTTACCGCCAATCGTAGTACCAATCCGGCCCCAACTTCTAAACAAATAATATCTTTCAAGTTTGTCATGTTTTAAAATTTGCAACTTGTAATAACTATTTTTCTTTGATTGTATGTCTGTCAGGCCTAATGTCGCAGTGTATTTATCTTTTCCCTTTTGATAGATATGCGCACAGTCTTCCAAGCCACTATCGGGATCAACAGCTCCACCGCCTTTTACCTTTACCTTCATCTTGCCAGAACTCGATTTCTCGAACCTACTTTTACTCTTGGAAGTATTAGATTTTGCAATGACGTTAGAAAGTCTAGCATTTATATCGCCACCCCAACTAGAGATGGTTTTCTTCTTTAAAAGCATGATGGGAGTATCCGTGTATTCTTTTGCTTCTTCTATGAAATCTTCCGTTATTACTTGAATATCGCATGATTGAACATCTTCCATTCTTTTATTCATCTTTTCCAATTCATTCTGATTCGAAATTACAGCAGCCAAATCTTCATGAATTTTTGTAGTAACAGTACCACCTAACAATAAAATTTCCTTCTTCAATTCTTCTTTATCCTTCTGTGTACGACCTAATATAACAAACTGCATGTTCTTCAAAGGACGTGGTTTTCCTTGTATTTTTGGACCATCTACTTCTTCTTTAACAGAACTCGATGATGACGGTGCTGTCATTTTAAACACTCGTTTTTTCACCTTGGACTTGTATGACCTAAACAAATTAAAAGCACTGTAAACCATAGTTTCATCACATTTATCAATATTTCAAAGAAAAAAAGGAAAGGTTTAAAGTACCATCTGCTGTTATCTAATAAGAAAAGACTTACTTAATTGGAAATTTTTTCTTCATTTCACTTGGTATTTCGCATTTTTTTCTTTTTGGATCTTGAGTAACATAGTCACATTTGGTCCATTCTGTTACATTACCGGTGCATTTATAACCCAAACCAGAATTATATATAAGTTGTCCTTTGCATTTTGGACAGGGTTCTAGAGCTCCAAAGTATAGTATATCGGATACAAGATTCACGATCTAAATGAAATTTGATTAATGAAACAAATAAATCTCTGTTTAAGTATAATAATAAATAAACATCTCTCCTGCAATGTATAATTCAAATTTCCAAAATATTTCTTAATTAACACAATGATGTAAATACATATCACAAAGTACTTACATTTGAGGTGCCTGTAGGAATTTCCTGATGGTTTTTTTCCAATACTGCAACCAATTTATTTTTTTCAAGATCTGATATTTGATCTTTTATAGCATATAGTTCTTCATTTTGCTTTTTCATCAACTTTGCGTCTTCTGCATCTTCTGGTTCGTCTTTGATCTTTTTAGGAGGTGGTGGTATATCACCTTGAGTCATTTTCGGCAGCGCAGTTTTGAGACTGTTCTTATCTTCTTTTGAGAGCTCTTTAGTACCGGCAAGCTCATCTCCGCTCCCATAATATCCTAAGTCTGCCCTTAATTTCACAAAACATTCCACATGATGCCATCTATCTAAACCACCAAACCTCCTAGCTTCCGCGCTCTCATAATCCTTTTTTGATATTCTCATTTCACCCTTTATTATCTTTTCATCACATCCTTTACAGGTAGATTTATTAGACTTTGCATATTCTACTCGAAAATCACCAGATCCACCGGCACCACCTTTCGTTCTTTTTCTTCCTTTTCCAGACACCGGAGGTGCATTAAGAGATTCTTCTACATGAAAAAATACAATAGAAATGTAAGATGATAAAGTAAATTATAAAATTATAAATTTTGCTAAATATATATACCAACCAATTTTTTTCTGAATTACTTCCTGATCTTCATGACGAATTTCATCAAAGCAAGCTATATCAGCAGTAGATTTTGGTCTTTGTTTTAAAAAGAAGCAGTTGTAATGATACCATTTAGGTATTGTTCCATCATGGACAGGACTCTAAAAATGTAAACAATATTTCTACGGTAATCTCAGATTTATTTTTTGAGATATCATAAAAGATATGTCTGACATATTCATTTCATAAGTTTATTGTTTAAAATCAATTTGAAACAATAAAGGATTGGAATATAAATACATTGTTGTAAAGAAAAAAAAATCTACTATTAAATATGTTAAGGAATAAATAGGAGAAAATATATTTACATAGAGAAATAATTTTATTATAATCTGTAGAAGTGTGATAGTCTACAAAAAAAGCAAATAAATAGCTGAATAATTTAACATTGTTGCTGTTATCGTCATGCGGACGATATCGTTATTCCGAATAGTCACAAGAACATAAAAATTTTCGCAAGACAACAGCGAGATAGCATGTTAGGGACACTCGCATCTGCCTGTCTTCTGCGTGCAATTTGTTCGCGTGATTTCTCGGATGAGAAAGTTTCAATACCTGAACAATAGCGGCGAGTCTCAAGCTCTGCTTGGCGATAGATTGCTTGCATGATTGACACTTGGAGCGATCGCTTTTCGCGTATTCCGCCCGATACGGCAAGTCGTCGCTCATTTCACCGATTGTCTTCCACTTTGGAAATGTACGATTTGCGAGATAACGCCGGTTAATACGCAACGCTGATACTGGTCACGTTGGGTCACGTTACTTACGTTCGATCAGAATAACGGCAGGTCTCGTACAATAACCGGTAACCGGCATTTGGCGGTTATATAGTGGCGACACAAAATAGTCCAAGTTCAGACTTGGAGACACCTCTCTTCCTGTCTCTACCAACCTCTACGGATAAAAAAGCTCGAAATAATAATGGAATGCGATTGGATCTGACATCTGATCATAGACATAGTATATCTAGACCGAGCGTTTGCCATTATAAAGAGAGCGCTATGCTCTGTGCGAGCGAGAGAGAACGCAAGGGGCACGAAACAGAGTATGTCCTTTTCTACGTGGGCATCGGCCCCCACTCCTCAACACTCGGTCTAGATATACTATGTCTATACATCTGATATATCATAGCTTGAATAGAAAGAAGCTTGAGAAGGGACACATCGCCGTTTTTTAAATTTTCTTAAATTAATTTTCTTAATAATTTTTGTTCCTAATTTTTAAATATAACAAATAAAGAAATTAATAAAGCTTTAAAGTGAAAATCAGTTTCATAGAAAAATTATACTGTTTATTAAATTAATTTCTTAATTCGATTTTAAAGAGGCGCTCGTCGTTGAGTTACTACCGAAACCATTACTTTCAAGAATCGCCAGGAAAACCTGGGATTAATTTCAATCCTACAACAAAAATCCCCAATTTTCAATAAAGCACTGAATTAGGCATCGTGACTGGGTCTTATAAGAACCAATAGAAATAATTCTCCAAAATGAAAATCGTTTCGTATCCTTGCTGACACGAACTATGCAATTTTATTAACGTTCACCTGACAAAAGGGACAATGATCGTATCTAAGAACTAAAAGAACGAAAAGAATGTGAAATGAACCCAGAAGGAATGCGAAAATAATACGGAATTAACGCGGAAAGAATGCAAAAAGAACATGTATTTTCGCAATGTAATTTCTTAACTTATTTTATGAATATTTGGTTCCGATATTCATAATATTCATAAATATACCAATCTCTAATTGAAAATAAATCATAAAATTCGTCAAATAATCTCTAACATCTTTTACATCTTTCATAAGAACTATGAACTCTAAAGCCTCTTTAGCTCAGTGGTAGAGCACTGGTCTCGTAAACCAGGGGTCGTGAGTTCAAACCTCACAGGAGGCAGTGAAGAATTTTTGCATTCTTATATATTCTCTCGAGTATCTTCTATGTATATTTTTTAAATTTTCCTAATAATCCTAGATATTGAGAATCATTGATATGAGTTATATAATAATAAGTGCTATTTATACATACATCATATATACAGAGTGTTTCTTAAAGTGGGAAGTATTGCAGTGATGAATTCAAGATACAAAAATAAAAAAGGGAGTTCATATAAACATATATCCAATATGACCTTGTTTCCGAGTTACAGTCTATTTAATTTTCTAACAGAGTTAAGATAGCATACTACATATTATCGGTTTGCTGTTTTTCTGCAAGATTTGAAGGATTTTAGATCTTGCTAATATATAAATATAAACATGTGTTATTAAAATTATGGCTTGGTCAAACAATGAAATGGCAGACATGCATCTCATATATGGATTTTCCGATGATAATGCAATTAGACTTTTGTATGCGGAAAAGTTGGAAATATTGGAAAATAAAATAGGTTGTAACTCGGAAATAAAGTTATATCGGACATATGTTTATATGAAATTTTTTTCTTATTTTTCTATCCTGAATTTATCGCTGCAATACTTTCCACTTATTAGAAAACACCCTGTATATTTGAGACGATCGTATTTATCGATATCATCGTTACTCTTTAAAAGTGAACAATTATTCTTATTGTATTATATATAATAATATTTATTACTTATAATATTGTGTTATTTATATATTGTATTATTTATTTTTCATTCTTTCATATTCTTAAAATTATCGGATTTAGTATGTAGATGTAAAAGAAGATCATTAATTAATAAAGTTATAACATATATAAGGCTTGAATACAACCCAGGAGTAAAAATAAAAGAGTTTACAACTTTGAAGGAAATCGATATTTGAGAATCTATTTATTTGAAACGAATTCTTGGATCAAATGAAAGGTAATTTTTTTCTAATAAAAATCTCCGATTGTTTAGTGAATTTCCGGGTTTTTTAGAATTGTAACTTCTAAAATATCTGATTCGCGAACCATGCGATAAATTGTCATACGGACTCCGGACATCGGAATGGAAAAGTTCGTATCCTGAATCAGGATCATCGAGTTGGCGCCGGACATGTTTTGCACGAAATGCAATCTCCAGGGATTCTCCTCAAGGCCTGGCGACATTTGACGAAGATAAAGCACCGGAAGGGACGATAAAAGAGCTATCGCTCGCGTGCCGGAAACAGTGTTCCCGCCCTCAGCTACAAAAACTATAGCCCTGAATAAAAGGATGAATTTTAGCTCCCATTCATGTACTCGCCGCGCTTAATGGTGTATAAACCCGATTTGCTCTTTCGTGGGAATTTTTTCGATCGTATCAGTTATCGCGATCGATTGTATAATTACAAAAGGTATCTTGTGTCAGTGTACGCGAATTGTGCACTTGGGTATATTATACTCACGTCGAGATGAAGTGTCCCTCGGTGATCTTGTTGCTGTTCGTTTTTTTTGGCCAGTGCATCGTTTGCTCTTGGCAGGTGCAGAGTAAGCAGATATAATGGAAATAATGTATTATATGCATAAAATGTGATCAAACGGAGTAAAATAATTCGGAATAATAAAGCAACGTACAGTGAGTGTAACATACCATATATGTGTGTGATGCTCTTTTAATAAAATAAAATTCTGATAAAATTAACAATAAAGTGTCACTTTTACGATGGTTATTGAACAAATAAGTATGAAAATAAATAAATTAATTTTATCACAGAAAAATATCGTCATGCAGCCGCAAAGTTGATTATCGCGTGCGCTATCGCATTTAAACTTGCGGTGCAAGATGAGGAGAATAATTAATTTAAAAGCAGAAACACAGGCGTTAGATAATGTGTAATTGACAAACAGTTATAGTAATTATATTAATTATGCTAATTTAATACTTAATTGGAATATTATTACATAATTACTCGATACATTTGTGGAGCTCATATAACCGAGATAGAGAAAGATCAACAGTTATTATCCCAATATTATATTGTTGTAAACTAAACCCGTTTATCTTACTTCGTTTTACACATGATTTTACATGGATGTTATTAATTTTGTTTTGTTACTTTATTGTTATTCTGGTAAAGCTGAATAGAATCCAATCAGTCGTCTCATATATTAACAATCATCATCTTTTCAGTCCGATGTCCCGTGATGCGATTGAATAACGGAAAGATTCGCGTTCGGGCTCGAGGTCGGATTGTAAGATTTAATTGTCTCGATGGATTCACTCTCGTAGGCAATAAGTATTCCACGTGTGTGCGCGGCCAGTGGGACACACCTACTCCCGTGTGTGTGAGTAAGTAAAATCATGTATGTGTGTGTATATGTGAAATAGACGAAATTGTTCATCAAGATGTTAACAAAGTATCTGTCAATTTTTTTTACTGTCATATATTTGAAACTAGTTTATAATTGACATTGGGAGAGATGCAGAAACGATTGATTCGCGTGACAAAGAAATCTGGCAATTGATATAGTTGCTTGAATGGAAAGAATAAATATATGTAAGATCAGTAGATTTGATTTATCTCTTTGCACGTGACATACAGATGCGGAGTGTCATCCACCGCCTACACCGGCTCATTCACTTATGGCACAAAAATTGGACGGCGCAATATTGATGTTCTTTTGCGAACCTGGCTATACCCTGATCGGCAATGCTGAGATTTATTGTGACGGAGTCCAATGGAACGGAACGATTCCTTATTGTCGAGGTATTGCAATAATTTTAATTATTATCTTAATTTTAATTATTATCCTAATTTTAATTATTATCTTCCGTTTTCCTTGCTTAAATTATCTCTTTCTTACTTAATAATTGCATAGAATTCTGCAAGAATAAATAAAGTTATCAGACACGTGTAGATATTTTGATAACTTTAAACTTTAAAATTATTTTTGATGAGGCACAAGAGAGTATATAATAATTTTTGCTACTGAAAACCTTAATTGACATGATCGCTCACAATCTAATAGTAATAATTGCGAATTAACTCATTTTTACATAATCATTTATCTTTGATGTGCTTTTTTCCCTTTTTTCCTTCTCTCTTCTTTCTTTTAATCAATTTTATTTAAAATTAAATCATTTTTATTTCTATCGTAAATCGATAGCGTCACTTGCAAGTCACTTGTTCGCGTTAACGTAAAATATCTTGATGTTCCATTCATGGTAAGACACGAAAGCACCAGCGCCCGCGAAATGCGATTTCGAGAGTACGGATCTGTGCTGGTGGGAACAGGACCCGCAACACGATTTTGACTGGAAACGCCATAATTTCGAGACACCGAGCTTGCACATCGGTACCGGTCCTACGCACGATCATACGCTAGGAGCCGGAAACGACGGTACGTATCTTTGTATGACCTCGACTTTTCGCTGAAACGCTATAGATAAAAAAAAAATGGGAAAATATCATTGTCCTTCGAATACATGCTCGCGTATTTACGATATGATTTTAGGTCATTATCTTTATATCGAGGCATCCGGACGATTGGTGAACGATACGGCAAGAATTATATCTCCCCTGTATAATTCCTCATTGACTGAATCGGGCTGTTTCTCGTTTTGGTAAATATAATTTCATGTAAAATAAAATATCGCTCTCCAATTCTCTCGCATGCAGCTTTCCAGAGTTTAACTATTTTATTCTAAATTTTATTTTAAATATGTGTAAGTCAGATTTTTAATTAAATTTAACGAACAAAATTTAAAATAAATTTATGAGTGAAATAAAACCAAAAAGAGAATTGTATATAATCTATCTATCATGAAATATTCAATGTTTGACTTATACCACATATGAAAAAAAAAAAAAATGAATATTCTAATAAATAATATTCTAAAGTCTACATTTTTTATTATAGTATTTTATTAAGGATTTATATTGGCTTTATATTGGACTTTTTAATAAGAATATATATTTGGATTGACAGGTATCATATGTACGGTGCCACAATCGGTTCATTGAATATTTATTTCAAGCAAGAGGATACTCAATCGCGGTTGATGTTCACCAAAAGCGGAAATCAAGGGAATCAATGGTTTCATGGTATCTTTGAGTTACCGAAAACTAATATCAGCTTTCAGGTACGTATTATCGATGTCTTTTTGATAATAAAATTTACTTCTAGTCGGAATATTTTTATTTATACAGTAATGTTGCATTGTTATATTAAAATATAAGAAAAGAGAATTAAATGTAAAATATGAGAAATTACGAGAAATTAAGATCTTACAAAGCTTTTGTATATTTTCAATGTTGTTTATAGATTATTATAGAAGGAGTGCGAGGTAGCAGTTACGTGAGCGATATCGCGATAGACGATATCGCTATTTTACAGGGGAACGAGTGTATGATTAAGAATGAATCTACCAGCGTAACTGTAGGCGATGATGGTAAGTTAATTTTTTAAATAGATTCTTAAATCAACAACAGGAAGCATCGACATATCTCGCGGTAAGATAATAATAAGCATCATAAGACTTATCTGATAGGAAATTTTTAAACATGTTAAACGGAAGAATAGTCTGTAAATTAAATTTCCGAAATTCTAATCTCTTCAAAACGAGAGAATTTTCATATAATATTTAAAATGTTTTGAGATTATGTCAACAATTAAATACTTCTAGATTGTAGTTTGACTATTACTTTCCAGCAAGAGAGAAATATATCAATTTTTCTCTATATATAGAGAAAAATACATATCGCACACGTATCTGTTCTAAAAAATCCGTATCTATTTCAGATCAAGTGGAAATAGTCAACGCGCAACAAACCTGTCGGAATAGATGCGTTTTTTCTTCGACGACCCCCATTTCCTCCGACGCATCTTCTAATAATTCATTTGGGCCGGAAAGTTGCCTTTGTACGGTCGATTGTGCGGAACGCTCTATATGTTGCCCGGATTACGCTGAATATTGCATACTGGGTAACTAATACATGTTATATATTATATCTTAATGAGACCCATGAATTGATCTCTGAGTTGCTCGGCGTAATTGAAAATTATGATAGTGCCGGATAGCAATTTATTATAGTCCATTTAATTTTAGTCTCTAGTTAAGATTTATATATAAGGTTTCCGATTACAGGATATAGCACCGTTATGACAGTACCTGAAGATATAACGACATCATTGAGTACTAACACTACGATTTCACCGGTGAGAAATTTTACTCTGACAGGATTTCCTATGAATCCGAAGGATGACATCGACCCAAGTATATCTAACTCAACGACGTCGACGATTACGCGAAGACCTATCACGACGGTCAAGGTTCAAACTAAGAGTCCGTCACGGGTAACAATACCGATTAAATCAACGTGGCACGCAGAAACGAAGGAAACGCCTTTCGAACCCAAGATAACTCTCACAACGAAATACATAGAACCTCAGGATCGATCTGGTAACGTCCGTTGTGCATATACACATATATATATATATAAAGTAACAGAGATTCTCTCTGATATTAAATCGTAACAAGACGTTTCGGCTCAATTTAGTTATATCTTAAAAGAGAATTTAAAGTGAGTCAAAAAGTTGAAATATAGACTTATTAGCTTCTCTTCAAATAATCGCATTTAAATATGAAATCTTCTTTTCTTGAGAGAAAATTCTATATATAATATTGTTAGCTGAGAGATAACTCCCGATTGTACTTAAGAAAGTATTAAAAAAGGAAATGCGAAATTTTTGATACATCTCGCGATAAGTCATTCCTAATTCTTTCAAAAATTAATTATTTTGGAAAAATCTTTTGAATTACTAAATGTGTCATAATTAAAACTGACTATTATTGATAATTAACTATCAATTTTAAGCATTAGAAACTTGATAATGAGTTTTTATTACCAGAATTATACTGGATAAAGCAATGTTATTGACGACGATGAAAAATTCGCAGATCTGCACATAGAACAGAATCCAGAAAAGAAGAAACACGGTAGAGGTATCGAAATCTTGGAGATAGTCTTCGCAATCGGCGCGACTTTGGCCGTCCTTTCCGTGGCACTCGTGATCACGATCATCGTTATTAGGAGGAGGAAAACTTATAAGAGAGGAGCGAGCGGTTCGGCGCTCTCGGAGGACAGCGACGTTCGTTTCTTAACGTCAGACGAAATTCTCGATTTTAATTTAGCCCGAGCTACAGATAACGACGAACTGTAGCTCCACATTATCGAAATTCCTTCTTTAAACGGTCGAATTAAAATTCAATTGATTCTCTGATTAAATAATTAATCGAGTGAACGAAGAGAATTCTGTGAATAGAAAATAATCGTAGCCTGCATTTTATATCTTTATCGTCTAATTTTTTTATCATTTGAACGAAATCTTTGCTCTTCGAAAAAACAAAAATTACGATTAAATCTTTTGCACTAATATTAGTAAGAAATATTATTGTTTTAAGAATTGTCATTACACCGTTAAAGATTATTCTCTGGAAACTTATAATACAATATTGATATTTACAATTTTAATGTTTTAAATATGTAAAAAATAGAATTAATTATCTTTCAATATAAAAAATCGATATTTGATGTTAATAATAAATTATTTGAAAATATTCTGCTTGGTATGAGAAACATCTCCCTTTAATTTAATTCTATTTTCCTACATACTTTGTGTTTCGCTTTGTCAACATTATTTTAATTAAAAATATTGTAATTATTTATATATTTCTATATAAATCTTCTCTTTCTCTCTAATAATTCATTCATTCTGTATTATTATACTATACTTTCAAAAATACCTTTCAATGTTGTAAGCGTACGCATAATTTTGAGGAATGACCCATTTTTTTGGTGATGAAAGTAGCACACGAAAGATTAACCGACATCGACATTGCGCAACGCTACTATTTGGAAGATCAACACGCATCTAGGATTGTCGGGCGTATCGATTGATTTCACTCTGGAAATACGTCATTGCCGAAATACGTATGCCGAGGCACGTAGTTTCAATAGTTCGTCTAGACAACCGGTTGCCTCGATCAGGTAAACGTTAAGCTGTCCAAGTTTAGACACTTAGATAAGTATTACGCATTATACATATCCCATGCAGGGACCCAAGTGCAAATAAGTAGCATATATAGACACACATATCCATATATGCACACAGGGACCTTTACAAATCTTCTGAAAAGTTCTTCTCATTAAACATATCCCTCATAAAAGGTCTCACTAATATGTCGATCTAATGAAATATTCATGAAGACACTTTGTAGTCGCGGCATTTTTGTGGTAAACCTTACAAGTTTGCGGATGTCGTGAAACGCCGCTTTTCTCTCCGGAGAGAGTACCGAGGAAAGAATACAAAAGCCAAAGTATATATCGAATTTAGTACGTGCGTGGTCGATTTACTGCACGTTTCGGCGACGTTTCACTGATGTATTATACATTGTGTATACGCGCGCGCGTGTGTTTGTTTTGTATGATTCAGAAAATATGATTCATTTTATGAAACGGCTTATATCCTAGAATACTGGAAACGAAAAGTTATTCAAACATCAAAGATACGTAGATGTCGTATCTCTATTTTAAAGTTTCTGCACGTCTTTTCTCACAGTCTTTAATCAATACCTGATTTCAAATATCTCGGCATCTAGATGCCGAGATATTTCTTTATATTAAAATTTCTTCAAGTAAAGGCTATTTGTGAAATATCTTTTTTGTTCATAAATTATAAAGCTTAGTGATGATAGTTGATTATTTTTTTTTATTATATTTGGTTCCAAAAATTATTGGATGTTTCGATATATTTTTAGAAAATGTGTGTGTGGAAATTAATCAAAGAAATTTTGTCCTCCACAATACACGTTATCAGAAAATATTTTCTGCAATTAATCTCTTATTCTCGTATCGATACTGAACACGAATTAAAACTAGACATCTGACCTACTGACGCAAACGAAATTATATCTGTAGTAAACAACACATTTATCTCACAAAACGCAATTTAAAAGATGACAAAAGGGTTGAAATTTGTCGCGACAAGCTGTCTATACCCTCGGAAGCTTCTCTTATTAAGAGCTCGGGTTGAACTTCCATTTCCATGCTAATCTCCTCGCACAAATGGCCTGTCAGTTTCCAGAGAGAGACTCGTACCTGCGAGACGTACGTGAAAGAACGTCTTCCATAGCGAATCGCAATGTCACCCTTGTGTAGGACGTTGAAAAAAATATTGGAAATACATCGCTGGCACCTCTGTGACCTTCGTGTCCCCGGTGAAATTTCGTGTCTGCTTCACGTTTACTTGCGAAAGCTCCCTCCAAACACTTTCTACATTGATTACCGAATTGTCGTCGCGTGTCGTCATCTGGTCTGATCAACGGTCGATTTAGAGTCAGAATCCTGCGGGGCGGCAAAGGAATGCTTCTTTAAAATTAGAATTTATATTTTTTTGGTAAATGGAAAATTTTAAATGTATTTTTTCTCAATTGAGTTTATGTTTTATTTTTAGTTATTGCCTGGCAATGTTTTAATATTTTTGCTTCCTCATAAAGGAAGCTTTGTTTTCGTGACAAAATTTTTTTTCGAGTTTTCTATGCCAATGTGTTTAGAATGTTCCAAAACGTCGGAAAATCATATTCCTAAAAAATGTTGGTTTTGGTTGGTATTGAATTTGGTGAGAATCGATGAAAAGGATCATTTTTTATAAAATTTTTAATTTTTTATTTTGCTCACAAAGCTTTCTCTATGAGGAAGCAAAAATTGAAAAATCCACATGCTTAAAGCAGCTTAAGCATTGTAAGATAAAATGATGAGGAAGCAATGTGCAAGTTTCTAATTTGCACAACTCTACTTGTTTTTTTTTCAGCTGGAAATTATGTGTGGCACAAATTTCCGATAAAAATATTCACGAAATCTTACTATTATGCAAAATAACACTTTTTATTAATTCAATATAAATGAAGAAAATTTAATATAAATGATTAATAATAAAATAATATAATCTTTTACAACAGAAAATCTTTTACAAAAAAAAAAAAAAATTAGAAATTTTTTTTATTTTAGTCTAATAATTTTATCTCTGTACTATAAGTTTGACATTTATTTTTGATGAGTTGCCGACGAATTTTTATTGTCATTGTAAAAAATAATATTCGCACCGGTCTTAGGATCCATAAAGTCAGAAATGGGCCAGGTGATCTGGATACGTCAGCGCGTCAGATAATAATCGCGACGATGCGTGCGTTGATCGGCAGTGTCCCATTGTCATTCGCTCGTCGTCGATCGCATTTCGCGTGCGTTGCCGCGTGCGTGCCATCGATGATTACGTATACAATGTCTGATCGCACACGTAATGAGCTCGCGGTTCGATTGCGTGCGGTCCGAGCACGTGTATGAAGTCTCTGAAAGGCGGATCACGTGGCATGCACAACACATCACACGGAGAAAGAATGAAGAATTCGTGGATTGCGCAGTCTCTCACTTTCTCCCGCTTTATCCTTCTCTCTTCTCATTCTTTCCTCCACTCGTCGCTCCACTTGTTGCAACCGACAATGGCGTGCATTATCCGCCTCTGTCACGTCGCCGGAGTTGATAAATCGAAGCGACGTCATGTTCCTACTATTTCCTTACTTTCTTTCGCTTCTTTGTATATTTCTGTTCGTGTGGATCTGCTAAGTTTTGTTTATTTAAGTCTTATCTAGAGATAACGATTGCCAGTAATGGGGATTACTCTTGCGTCGCATTCTTTCATCCCTGAATGAAATTTCCGAAAAAGAGTCGCAAACACTCTAGGTTCGTGTGATGCTTTAGGAGAGAAATATTTGCCATATTGTGAAAATGATAAGACCTATGACTAAATGATCTTAATATCGCAATAAAAATATAATGCTATGTTAATGTATTATAATCAACCGTTTAACATGCAAAGTCAGGTACATTGGTGGTCCATTTATGTACAGCTGTTTCATAATCGTGACTTGTTTCTTTTATTTTCTATGATTGCAACTCGTTTTTCGACCCGAGATGTATCCAGAAATATAAAATTAGCGCGTATGATTGTTTTCACACGCTTCGATTATACTTGAAGGATAGCTTTTATTTATTTATTTATTTTTTTTTTTTTGAAAAATATATCGGTATCCAATTATTTCTCCTCGTCTAAAGAAATCGGTTGAAAAGATCCGCGGGATTCCCATGAAGTTTCCACATTCAGCGTCTCGAGACATCCTGAGACATCGTGCAAGATTAAACTGCAATTTTGGCGGAGAGCCTACTCTCCTATCGTGATGCATGCGACAACGCTTCCCGGGTGTCACAATAGATTTAATCGTCCCAAACTCGACGTTATGAGCTGTTCATTTTCATATAGTGCCGCAGTAGAAGGGAGAAAGGGAAGAGAGAGAGGGCCGACTCCGGAATTGCGCTTGTACCGAGCAATCGCAAATAACGGCGCGGTAGGCAAGTCGGTATAAAATCGAACGATCCCTCGATCAAAAGTCACAGTATTCGGGCCTTCTCGCGGTGTATCATCACCGTAATCGCTACCGTGCATTACCGCATTGAGACGCAAGGTAAGTGCCGGAAACCGGTTTCTCTCGCCTTTGAAACAGTCTCTTCGGGGAAAGCGCGCGGATTTTTTAATGCTCTTTTCTCATCAATCGCGATTCTGGTGATCCGTTTGTGTGTGATAATATATGTGAGTTTACAATGATTTAATGAAATTACGATCAAAAAGAGTATACATATAAGATGTGTTATAAATCGTTAGATTCTAAAAAGAGCGTCTCCCAAATTAACTCAATTAATCTTAAGTTAACAGTTTCAATTTTTTTTAAACGTATCTTGGACTTTTCGCGTGTAAATTTTTTTTAGATATTTGCTTTGCATGGAAAAATTGGCGATACATGTAGACGTAATAGTAATGCAAATTATACTTATTTTTCATGATGACAGATGCATTCTGCTATTGCCACCATCATCATCGCTGTCGGCTGTTTTCTCGTATTGAGAGCAGCGGCAGAAGAGGCTGTTCAACAGAGTCAACAATCGCTAGACTTCAAAAATGTCGCTATCGAGGATCAAATCGATGACGTCAGGGTCAATCCCAGGGAAAAGAGAACGTTGTTTTTGAAGAAAAAACTGCTCGGTGCTGGTCTTCTTGGTTTCGGTCTGGGCGTTGCAAAAGGGTAATATCTTTTCTCATGTGTTTGAATCGGTATCTGTTTTTTTTTTTAATTTATTTTTATCACTTGCTATTATATGATTAATTATAATTAATAGAGATTTCAATTAGCAAAGAGAGTGACGCGACATGTCAATAATATAAAAGTGAAAAAAATATATATGGTTTTCAGTTTTCATATTTTTTTTAAACGCTAAAATTTGTTTTTATGTAATATATTGATGTGTAAAGATATTTTATATTTTATTATTTTAATTATTTTTTTATTATTAAAATTATTTCAAAATTAAATTAATTTAATTTTTATTATTAAAATTATTTCAAAATTAAATTAATTTAATACATTTTATCAATATTTCTACAATACTTTTCATTTTCTTATTTCACTTTTAGTTATAAAGCCGGTTACTACAGCGCACCGGAACTACATCATGTTTACGTTTCGCCTCCAGTGAAATACGTGGAATACGTCGAGAAACCTGTTTTTATTGAGAGGATCGTTCCGAAACATATTTACAAACCACATATTGAATATGATGCGCCAGCCTGGTCGCAACCAGATCCTTCCTACGGGTAAGGGAAACCAGCTGCCCTATCTTCTGCCTTTTTAACGATTAATATATAATTGAAATACTAAAATCGTGTTTTTAAAATATATTTTATTGTATTAAATGTGAATTAGCTCGTTTTATGATACAAACGATAATTTGATTTTGAAAGAGTTGTAACATGATGTCTAGAATAATCCAACTTCCTTAATTTGAACGAGCGGATATTAAAGATATAGCTTAAATGATTTATTCGTGTATTTGATTATACAAAAAATTATCTTCTGCTAATCTCTCTCACATTTTTTGTATTTTTCTTTGCAGCGGCTGGTAAATCCGGAGTACAATTAATTGATTTGATCTCCTCGTTTTACCTCGAGATTTTAGGAACAGCCAAAAATTTTGCACGTTCATCGTGTTGAGTCTCAATCCGGTCGTCTAACTTTAAGTATAAGCATGACATTATTTAGCAATAATAATTAAAAGAAACAGTTATTTTTGTTACCAATGTTATAAACTAATAAATCATAGTTTGTAAATATTCAGAAGCAAACTTTATTTATATCTCCTGTTTCCACAGAAAAACTTTGTAAAATTTTTTAAAGAAAAAAAAATGTTGTTTTTAATCTTTCAGAGTAATAAATTGCTTGCTGAAAAGGCTTACGCAAAAAGACAAGACTTTCATTGAACAATCATATGGCCGTATGATTATCTTTATTGCCGAAGATGTTACCAAGTAACATTGAAATATTAATAACGAGTATATAATCGCATGATGCGTCTGAAATATACAAATATCCAATCCTCGCCATCAATTTCTCGCTATATGCTATATGCGTATATTTAGATATTCTTTTTCGATAACATCTTTTAACATGTAACACATTCATACGTACAATTAACTTCTCTTCTATTCACAGTCAGATACAGATGTAGAAACAGTAATCAGTAGCGTCGCGAATGCGTCCTGCCACTTTAAGTAAACACTATTCAATAGAGAAATATGAGATACTTGATTATTTTAAATCTGTATATTAATTTTTTTAAATCTGTCAAACGTGTCAGAACATACGAGAATGCACAATTTGTCTATTAACAATTTCAATCATTTGTAATAACTGCAATTTAAAGAGCTCTATTAGTTAATTAAACAGTCGATTGCTAATATAAGTTGTACTTAGTATATAAAAAATGTGCAGACAAATCGAGCGTTATAGTGTTCAAATTTAAGTCTTCATTTAATTATTTACAGGGTTCTCCTGTTTAGTAATGGATATTCGCTACGCTACTGATAATAAATGACCACTTGCAATAGATTGATTATTAACAGGCACCCTTGTGAAAAACGTATTAACCCTTTGCGTTTTTCCATCTTACGCTTTTGTTTCATTTGTTCTTTTCTCGATAATTGCCATTTTATATTTTATTTCACTATTGTAAATGAGTAATTGTAATTGAATGAAAGATGTATCAGATAAAGTTAAAAACTCAGAACGAGATATGATAATCGAGCTAGAGTACTTGCTCTTTGGTAATTAGATTCGTTCGTAAAATTAGTCGAAGTGGATGGAAATGAGTCTTTAAATTAAGATCATCCTTTAATCTTTCATTCACTCAATGTCTCTATTTGACTTTCTTATCATGTTTCGTTGGACTTTTATATATTACAAACATATATATTATATATTACAAACCATGATACGTTATTGCATTTCTAATACCATTTAAAATACGTGAAAAATTGGGAAAGGACATTGGGAAAATATTAAATGTAACGGATCTTGTGCAGATTGGCAAAGAGTCAATCAAGTGTTTCCGAAAATCGTACAGTCGTGTGATTCCAGGATGCCTGTCACGTGGAACGCGAGTCGCTTAAAGAGGCTACTTACAAACTATTCATAACGCTAATATTAGCGTGGCTACGTGACTACAGGAATTACATTGAGGTACGTATATTCGTCAAGTACGTGGGGCCCGGCCTCGCCGTACGTGTATTATTCCTAAATATATACCTTTTATCTTTACTCGCGAGAGTAATCTTATACACAGAGTTCCCCGCTCTCTCACGAGTGACAGCCATCGAAAATTATCGTATAATTATTGTTACGGTTAAAAAATGCGATTATATTCTTTAACGATTGTCGTCCGGATTTAGCACCGACCGCGTTGAGAGACTGACTTAGGAAAGATCGAATAATAATCTACTACGGGTCGTAATAGGAGAGCTCGACGAAAAAAATTAATCAGAGTTCGACGAGCACATTTGATTCGAGACTCATAGATCGCGGATAAAAATGAAGAGGGAATTCTTTCCCGCTCAAGGAATTCTCTTTTGATTCGGGAATATGATTTATTATCGATAACACACTTTAATTACTTATTATATATATCGCCTCGATAAATAATACGCATTCGTAAAAATTTTTCAGGACTATATAACGTGTCTGTTTCGTTTCTTTCTCGCACATACTTATTGCATGTTGGATACAGCCAAAAGTATTATCATTAACAAGATGGCATATCGTATACGTATTGGACCGTCAGGAGTGCAGAATTATTGAGGTTGCCGTGTCAAACAATGTTAATATAATGCTGTAGTTGAACTTCGTGATCGTGATTATTTCGAAAAATTAATTATGGGAATTTCAGATGTGACACTGCTAAACTATAATATTGAAAAATTAAATTAAGATCACTAAATCTAAATTAGAATTTAAATATAGATAAAGTTGACATGTAAAAGGAATTTACATGGATGTGGAAGCATTAATTACTATTTTATATAATTACTAACAAATAATACTCCGACATATACTCTCTGTAATTACATGGATGTGGAAGCATTAATTACTATTTTATATAATTACTAACAAATAATACTCCGATATATGTATATGTCGAATTTACGATTTACCGGCTTCAGGAAATAGAGACGGACGAAAGTTGATACGAGCGACACGACGTTTAAAGTAGAACATTCGAAATATAATTCAAAGTATTATTCAATTATATGTTTACCTGATTTTTGAATTCTATTTGAATCGAATCAACCATTTCGAATATTCGAGTATCTGAATACAGTGTGTTTTACAGCTCGTTCCGTTCTAATTAGAAACTAATTAGCAGGATAATCCGCGTTTGGAGGCTATTGTTGGGAATGATATCACAAAGAGAAGAGAGATTAGTGCAATGGAGATTGTCGTCCGCGATAAGAGGGTACCTCGCCTATCACCGTTGTCAGTCGTAATGCGGCTGAGGATCGTATTCATCGTCATTGGGGATTCATTAATTTTCTTAATTCTTTATTTTTGTTCAATTTAGGACGACGATTTTTACTCTTTCAACGGCGTTAAATCGACCGTAATGAAGTGTCTCGTGAATTATAATACTCTGCGAAACATTTAAAAAATGTAAAATACGTTTAAGTAGAATGATCATACAACGGGAGTATCCTATAATTATATATTGTCAAGTATTACAGGAATATAGCGAGGATTTAGTGTATCGTTGTTATATCTTAATTTAATACGTAAATTTCTGTTTTATTAAGATAGTCCTGATATTTATATAAATAATATCGTGAAACTAGTTTTGTACATACACGCGCAAATCGATACGATATATCTCGAAAAGTGTTAAAAGTAATAAGCAATAATAAGTATCTCGTTTTTGAATAGTTTAAAATCTTGAATTAATTTTTTCTACAATCAAACTTGTATTAAAAAAGATCGAACTCGTTTACATATATAAATAGATAATGTAATTTATCTCGCATTCTCTTTGTTACTTTACAAAAATTACTTTTCCAATTGTTTCGCGCGATAATAATATAGCGGTCTCGCTTTTAAATCGAGACATTAAACAGTGGGAAGCTTTATCGAGCAGTTACGCTTTTATCTCGACGATAAAATACGTCCCTTAGCCACGGTACGTCCCGTCGTTTGCAAAGCCGATCAAAGTATCGTCTATCATGATCACTTGGCAATCTCCAGATGTTTATGTCATACTCCGTCATCCGTGTACTCGACGTGACGTTACCGGCATGATTTTACTGTCATAAAACAAGAATCTCCGAGTCACGTTTGCGATTTCTCGCTAGACGCGAGATGGATAAGGGAATCTTCCCAAACCGGTCTGTCATTTCTTATGTCATCCGTGACGCGGCATAAGATTGATTATCGCTCGTCGACCGTAAGAGGTTTGCTAAAGCGACGAATTAAAAAAAGCAGTCCGATAACTTTGTCTCTTATCGCAATCCTAATACGTTCCTTAGCCACGGTACGTCTCGTCGTTTGCAAAGCCGATCAAAGTATCGTCTATCATGATCACTTGGCAATCTCCAGATGTTTATGTCATACTCCGTCATCCGTGTACTCGACGTGACGTTACCGGCATGATTTTACTGTCATAAAACAAGAATCTCCGAGTCACGTTTGCGATTTCTCGCTAGACGCGAGATGGATAAGGGAATCTTCCCAAACCGGTCTGTCATTTCTTATGTCATCCGTGACGCGGCATAAGATTGATTATCGCTCGTCGTAAGGGGTTTGCTAAAGCGACGAATTAAAAAAAGCAGTCCGATAACTTTGTCTCTTATCGCAATCCTTTCGATTACGTTCGGCAGAGATATTTCAACTAAATCGACTGTGCCTGAGCCGTAGCTCATTGTCAGTAATTTTTCTCTGTCTCTCTCTATTTCTATAGGATATTCTAAAACCAACGTCATTATCGCAAACCGCGAATAAGTTTGTTTCAATGCTCAAGCATTAATAATTTTTAAATTATAAATAAGCGACATAATATTAAACCTCGTATTTTTTATCAAATTTTAAACTGGATTTATTTTAATAGAATTTTGATATGAAAGTTGATTACAAAGATAATTGATATCAAATATTTAAAATATCACTCGCAAAAATTTCACTCAATTAAATTTTATGATAAATAATATAATTAAATTATTCTAGAATGTTTATTTGAAGAAATAACGTTAATTTTACACGTAAAATATTTAAAAAAAATATGGTATTTTATTAAAAAATGCTATTTTCCTGAAATAAATTTAAAGAATATATATATGCTGTGAAAATGTAATCGCGCTTTATCTGCTTATAGTCTTATACACTTGCGGATAAAATCTTTACCTACTTGTGTAGTTAAGGTGCTTATCCACTTTTCGCAGAGCGTCCACGTGTTTTAAGAAGAAGCAGCTTTACGTCGATCCACTCGCTATCACAAGACCTGCATGCAATAGAAGATCGAATATTTTCGGCCATCACGAAATCATTAGGCCAAAAATAACAATATAATATCTCATATTTATATTTACATACCTGCTGATGAAGTATTTCTCTGTTGCTCTAATCGCGAAATGATAGATAATTACTCTCCTAGCTCGTAGCTCTTTTTCCTGATAGATCAATGAAACGATCCATCAAAATATCGGATCGTTGATTATAACCGAAATAATTATTACATAGACAATATATATGTATGTATCCAATGCGTTGGTTTTTCTTATATCGGATAGGCAATAACATTTTTATTTAGACATATTTTCATCAAGAAATTATATAACAAGTGACGGATTAAGTTGTTAATTATTCTTCGTTTTATATCATCTTGCTCTCTATCTTGTCTCTATGAATAGTTTAAAAGTTTCGGTTAAATCTATAATTCTTCCAAGAGATACGAGTGTGAAAACGATTTTATTATATTAAAATTCCATTCATTAATATCGACTTCAGATTTTCGTTTCATAGATACGTACATCTAGCGAGAGAGTTTACAATCATAAATAGTAGATAATTATGAGAATAACTTTTAATTCTTAGCAAGGTAAAAAACGACTTTACGGAATACATATATATATATATGTCGTGAAAAAATCTGAAAAATGAGAAATACATTACCCTTTTAAACTTTCGACATTTTAATACGTTTCTAAAGAAATTGAGTTGAATCTCACAGCATAAACTCTAGTCTAGAAATTCAATAAGAGAATCTCCTTTCGGATATCTAAATTTTTTTAATATTTCGTGTCACGCATTTAAATATATTCGATATATATCCAAAATTATATATATTATTTGCTAGCTGTCTCTCTTTTTCTCTCTCTCGGATACTGACAGTTTCAACAAGGAATTTGTAGATGATGTGAATGATGATCATTCATCGACAGTAATATTTGTCCGTGAAACGTTTAAATATTGACAGGTACAGACACATTGGAGGGAATTCGAAGAGCGGATCGCCCGTAAATAGTTCTATATAAACTTTTGCCCCAACGATTATTTATAAACGATTTACAACACGCCTACAACCATTGAATCTCTAATCACGGATTACACACCCCTGCCCGCGGGTATTATCAAACACCAATACAATGTACATTCAGATAAGAATACAGACGGAGCAGCAACGAGTCACGATCATTTACATGTTACGTTTTTTAAAGCCATCGATCCTTACGTTTATTTTTATTGTAATCGGATTTTCGAGCCGATGTGTCTTTCCCGATTGTGATCGCGTCAAATCTGAGAACCAGTCTCACCAACTTTCAATCTTGGTTTAATACTGTTTTTTTTTCTAGAAATAAAATTATGACTAGAATTAATTAAAACTAAAATTGCGATTCTGAAGACAAAAGTTGAGCTAAGATTAAAGATAATTCATTGACGCGATCGCGCTTAATGAAGGCTGATAGTTTCATTAATTACGATACGTAACCGCGACACTTTTCAATTATACACACGTTTTCGCGTGAATTGTTCGCTGCGAATTCCAAACGCGATACGCGTGCGCCGTGTTCGATTTTGTGCTCGTAATATATATCGGAGTTTTTCTCTCGACATAATATTCGGCGGTTCAACGCAACGACAGAGATTCAACGGAGAGGGAAACGGAAGCCGCGTGGCGGTAACTCTGAAGGAGGGGTTTGGGAGTTGTCGATGGTACTTCCTCGATTCTCTCCAAGTCGTTGGCTGCGCCCGCGCTATTTTGCTTATAGAGACGAGGAGTCGATCTCTGTGGCTGCGATTGTTCCGGGATTATTGACACCGGCTCGTCCGGGCGGTCCAGGCTGAATTGCCTCCGAAGCGTTCGACAGCCGAGGCTTTTCCCTGAAATTGAAAAAAAAAAAAAAAAACAATAATGCGATTTAGTAAATGTATATAAAATCCATCGATGTCAAGTACGTGAGATATTCCACATTTTTGGAATATCAATGAAGGGAAAGATCCCTTTCCCTCTTTCGGCATTTTTTAAATAAAATATAATAATCTAAATTCGAAGATATGTGAATTCTCGAAACATATATAAATAATTTCATTATTGAAATTGAGGTCAGGTTTTGAAATATTTTATACGTACATTCGTGGAATTTAAATTTGAATGTAACATAAAACTTTCCGCTTTAATAATATTAAAAAAGCAACCAATATTAATAAAATATTATTAA